ATCCGGTCGCCGGAGTGGAAGAGGACGCGGGATCCGGGTGATTTGGCTGTCGGAGTGGAAGAGGGCGAGCGCTCGGGCCGGCGCTTCGGTCGCAGGAGCCGAGGGAGGGTGGGGCTGCACCCGGTCTCCTGGCCACGGCTGAAGGGGAGCGTGGTCACCGACGACCACCACCGCGGGAACTACGCACAGATGAGAAAGAGAGAGGAAGGGGGATGGCTGGGCGACGGAACAGGAACGAGAACGACAGAGAAAGAGCATCACAGGTTGAGCAGAGAGGACATGAGCAGGCTGATGGGCCAAACATGTACGCACGGGCTGTATCCCAGACCGTATATAGATGCATAGGCTGACACGAGCCGACACGAGCCTGCCAAAAAGCTGACAGATTCCCGATCTCAAAGCCCATTCCAACAGCCAGGATACCGGCCTACCTGATGCTCGGCCACCAAAAGCCCTCACTCATGAGGGAGGCCTCTATATATAGCAGGTGGATGATAAGAGGGAGTATGAGGGTAATCTGGACCCTTCGATTATAATCGAACAACCCGGGACAATTAGGTTAGGGTAGATCAAATAAGAAACCAAAAATATGTGGGGGATGATCCGAATCCAACGGCGATGACTGCCCGGGTTAGGTTCGGAGAAGTTTCGGACGCGCACGCGGGGGGTTTTGAGAGAGATAGACAAGGACAAAGGGCCGACAAAAGATAAATGGAGACAAAGAGAGAAACGGCAACTACGAACGTCTACGAGTTTTATAAAAACATGCGGATGCAATATGCATGATGACATGATGAAATGCAACAACAACAAAATAAAACACACGACGACAACGAAAAACATGGAAGGCGGCTGAAGCATCGGTCTTGGGGCGTTACATGCTTTAAGAAAACGCATTACTTCAATCGGACTTGCAAGCAAAACAACCAAGCAACCGACAATCAATATATCAAAACGCGCCAGGCCACCTAAAAAAACTAAGATCAGCCACACAAAGACCCTCCAGGCCACCAAAAAATGATGTAAGCCTAATGGTACCCCTAAAAACATGTAAGCCTGATGGTGGGCAACGGTTTTGCAGAGCCAAAATTTAATTGCAGCCAAGCTGTGCATAAATTTGGAGCTTAGCTACAATTAGATTTTTCTTTTAAAAAGCACATCCAAAATATTTACTAATTTAAATTATAGTTTAGTATCTCCTAATGACAAATTTACATATATGTCGAATATATCAGTATATACGGTGTTCACTTCAGACGCCTCACCGGTGTGGAAGGGAATTGAGGCTGGTTGGAGCTTCTCAAGAAAGGGATCATTTGGCGTGTGGGGGATGGAAAGAGCATTCAAATACAAAGAGACCAATGGATCCCTCGTAAGGAAGGACTGAAAACTGCTGCCTTGGTTAGGAGGTCTAGATTACGCTGGGTAAATCAGCTTATGCTATCATCCAGCAAAGAATGGAATGTTGAGCTCGTGAAACAAATTTTCCATACTTTCGATGCGGAAGAAATCTGCAAAATTCCCATCCCAAAGTGTTATGCAGAAGACCGAGTTGCTTGGCACTATGAGCGGAATGGAATCTTCACTGTCAGAAGTGCGTATAAACTGGCTGCCTCAATCCAAGGTCAGACCCAACTAATCCCGTCGAGCTCTTCCAGTGAACCAAACTCCAGGAGCATTTGGGATCTGATCTGGAAAGCAAAGGTCCCGCCAAAAGTGAGAATCTTTGGGTGGCGTGTTGCTACAAATACGCTGGCCACTAAGAGGAATAAATGGAAGAGGACTCTGGAGGTGGATGCTACATGCGGTATATGTGGCTGTGAAGAGGAAGATGAGTTCCATGCGGTGGTCGCTTGCACTAAGAGTAGAGCACTAAGATATGAAATGAGAAAGGAGTGGGATCTCCCCCCGGAATGCGCCTTCCAGAAATCTGGTCCAGACTGGCTGCAGGTGCTCCTAGATAAATCCCGGAAGACATGCGTGCAAGGGTACTCATGCTGCTGTGGAGAGGATGGCACTTGCGCGACAACTGTGTCCATGGGAAAGGCGATGAAACTATCAGACATTCTGTACTCTTCTCCTAAAGAATGAGGAGGAGTTCCGTCTTGTTCAAACTACACCGGCAGTGCCTGAATCAGGGAAAGACGTGTGGCCACTAACCGATCTTGGGCCGCGTCGTCCAGAGCAGGCAACAATGAGTTGGGCCGCCCCGGTACAAGGGACAGTGAAAGTCAATTCTGACGCCTCATACCTGTCGGACAGTGGGCAATGCTGGGCGGGAGCGGTCGCAAGGGATCATAGAGGGTTGGTGTTGGTGTCAGTGTGCAAGCAGATTGGTTTTGCAGGGAGTGTGGAAGACGCAGAGGCTCGGGCGGCTTTGGCTGGCTTGGAGGCTCTAGCAGAAGTGTACAGAGGACCAATTGTGCTTGAGATGGATTGTATGGTGATAGTCAGCGAGTTAAATAGAGAAGCACGGAGTTGATCACCATGCTATGGAGTGCTTCGGGACACCCTGAATGCCCTAGGGGCTTTTTCAGACTTCAGTGTCAGGCATGTGAGCAGGAAACACAATATACTGGCCCATGAGCTTGCAGCGGAGGCAAGGATGCATGGTGATCTTCAGCTCGTCGCTAGGGTGCCGGACAGGCTGATGAATATGATGCAGAATGAGTGTACTCCATGTTTTTTTAATCAACACAATGCAAGTTGTAATAGTCATTAGCGAAGAGCAAGGTTTTGGCATACACTGCAGCACTTTATGACTCGGTTTTAATTTCCATCTATGCACATTCCACCAGTGCTAATTGTCATTAGGCTGGTCGTAATGATAGTATCATAGCTAGTATCATGCATGCCAACTAGGCAATTTTGATGAGGTGTCATAGCATTAAATGAGAAAGAGAGGGTGTAGTATCATATCATGATACCGTATCATATTAAATGTTATGCTACTTTGTGTCATGCATGACAATAAATAGAGTACTATATGATACTAATATATGATACTATGCATTAGGGAGGTAGTATCATATACTAGTATCATATGCATGATACTAGTATATGATATTCCCTATTACAACCAGCCTTAGCACAATAGCACTAGTCACCACACAGGTCGGGAGGATTTGAATGTTTTCCTACACAAGAAATTCCATGCATTCTTTTCGTACATATTTAATTAATGGGCTGGCTGATGCATGTGCCATTTAACTCTCCGTTTTGGCCACCTGCGCGCCGATCCAGCAAGATTTATGCGAGGCCAAAATACTGGGGCCAGAATTCATGTGAGGGCAAAATTCATTGAGGGCCAATAAAATACATGTGTGGCCAAAATGTGAGGCCAAAATTCATGTAGGTCGTGCAGACAAACACAAAGTGCCCGGGCCAAAATTAGGGATGAGCCGTTCGTGTGCTATGCGGGGCCAAAATTCATTAAATAGGTGTAGGTCTCATGCACATAGTTAATACGGTGATGGCACCAAAATCGGCATGCGCGGCTCCCCCAGCACGCAAGATTTTGGGAATGAGGAGTCAATCAGCTGAAATTTTGATTTGGGTCAGTCAATTTGGCCAAGGTCAGTTTGAAGCGTTACATGAAAAATGAACAACCCAGATTATGTCTTCTTCCTCTAGGCGTTTTCCAAACCACATCTTCTACCTCATCCTGCCTCCTGCTGCCGCCGTCTACGGTCGACGGTGCTCCTGCGACCGCCTCGCAGCACCACCCTCCCCTCAACCTCGCCCCACCGCCGGTCTTGACACCACCCCGGCCATCCCTCTAGCCCTGCCCGTATCCATTTTTTCTCCGGCGAAGCCCCACCACCTCCCCCACCCTGAACCCTAAGATAGATAATGGGGTGATGACGAGCCCTTTCATTCTCTCCGGTGAGGCCTTTCCTTCTCCTTCATTCAAAATCGACTGGCCCGAATTAAAAAATTAGCTGATTGACATATAGCTAAACTGCAAGATTTTTTGCATGATCCGTTTTTGAATAATCACGCTGCATGGGTAACCGCCATTGAATGCTGCAAGATTTTTTGCATGATCCGTTTTTGAATAATCACACAGCACATGTTGTGTAGTACGACTCAGCGCATAGAAAGTTGGCCCTGTGCCGAGTGTGGCATCGGATCCCAACACGATGGCACAAATAGGAGCGGCAATATGGCTGCACTTTATTGCGATCCCGGACCGTATCTTGTGTATATAGCGCTACAGTTGGGAAGCGGTATATCATTCATATTACACGCTAGCACTCATTATATCCATCTGAAAGCATGCATTACACGGCCTAGATGAAGTGCGCCAATGCCGCCGTGCGCTGAAAGTGCGTTCCGCCGCTCCCTTCTTTATCATCCCTTCTCTTTCCTCCACTTCAGATTTCGTTGACGTGGAGCAGCTTGTAGCCGGCTGATAAAGACCTATTATACTTGCTCTTAGCTACTCCCTCCGTCCGCGAATAAGTGTACATCTAGCCTTTGTCTTAAGTCAAAGTTTTAAAACTTTGACCAACTTTATAGGGAAAAATACCAGCATTTATGGCACTAAATTAGTATCACTGGATTCGTTTTGAAATGTACCAATTTGATGTCATATATGTTGCTACTCTTTTCTATAAAGTTGGTCAAAATTTTATAACTTTGACTTAGACCAAAAGGTAGAAGTACACTTATTTACGGACGGAGGGAGTAAGTTACTCCCACTATAACCAGCCTTATCATTTGGAAAAAAAATTATGCATTTTCACATTCTAGACCATGGTATATTTTTGGAAAAGAAATGGCACCACTGCCACTGGTGTACGTGCAGAGCATGCACACGCATTTAATTAGGTGCACATGTCCCCAGAAGGTTGACTTTTAGATTAAAGTTATTTAATCTGGTAGCTTCCATGAGGTAGTAAGTTGCGGTTGGGACTTGGGATTAATCAATCCTGATATAAATCTTGTCTCGAAACGAACGAACGGATCCATTATGCACAGAAAAACACAAATCATAGATGGGTGCTGCTGCCTTCTTCTACTACCTCTTGTTGTCCCTCTGGTTTCGGGATGCAACTGCGGCTGGTCTTGGCTTCACAAGAAGTGATTTCCCACGGCCACGAGAGTTCGTCTTTGGAGCTGGAACGTCGGCATATCAAGTGAGTGACTATTGATTTGTGTCTGAGCTGAAAGTTCTTGGGTGTTTACTTAATGAATCTTGATGTTTCTTTTGCATGTATATATAGTATGAAGGTGCTGTTGCTGAGGATGGCAGGAGCCCAAGCAGTTGGGACACTTTCACTCACGCAGGTCGGTCGCTACATGCTTGTAAAATCTGTCTCTTGTTTCCCATATGACTGTCAGACTCTGTATATTTCCCATATGGGTAAGAAATAGCACCTTGAGCAACTTGTATCTAATATGCTGATGCATTGACTGGATATTTGAGACGAATGCCCTCTTAGTAGAGCAGTTTACTTTACACTGCATTTCTGTTGCTGAAGCAAAACTAAAATTTTAGAGTAATATAATGGGATTGGCAATGGCCAAGAGCAGAACTTGACACCGTTGACCAACAAGTGTTTGTTGCAGTTAGGTCAAGTTTGACAGTTCGATTTGTTCTTGCAGGCAAAATGCCTGACAAAAGCACAGGAGATGTTGCTGCAAATGGGTACCACAAATACATGGTAAATAATAAGAGGGCTTGACAAATCTTGACTGTTTCTCTGCTTTAGCAGTTCTTAAATAAGTTAGGCTTATCTGATTTTGCAGGAGGATGTCAAGCTCATGTCTGAGACAGGCCTAGAGGCCTATAGGTTCTCCATCTCCTGGTCAAGGCTCATTCCAAGTACAGAAATTCTCATCACCTTCAACAGAGTGAACTGCGTTAGTTTTCTAATTGATCTCATTGTTTAATTTCTGGGTGTGCAGATGGACGCGGAACTGTCAATCCCAAAGGGCTAGAGTACTACAATAACCTCATTGATGAGCTAGTGAATCATGGCAAGTATTAGATCTGTGAGCATTTATACAGTTTAATAAGTAATCAATTGTTAGGGTCATATTTCATATAAATTGATGCAAAATATTGTTCTTAAGAAATGCAAGCAAAATACAAGTTTGAACCATCCAGTCTCTGTGGTTTTTTTTTCCAGGAATTCAAGTCCACATCACACTTCATCATCTAGACCTCCCTCAGATTCTTCAAGACGAGTATGGTGGATGGTTAAGCCCCAGAATTATGTAAGTGGATGTATGATCTCACTACCAAATACTGTAGATGGCTCAACTGGACTGGCAATTTTATATGTCATTGGCATACCTACGACGTAGTCTTCTATCCTGTTATTTATTCTCAAATCTACATAATGCAGCGAAGATTTCACAGCATATGCAGATGCTTGCTTCTGGGAGTTTGGAGATAGGGTTGCATTTTGGACGACAGTTAATGAGCCAAACATCGGTATAATGGCCTCCTATGATGTTGGTATAATACCTCCCGGCCGTTGCTCGGATCCATTCGGAGCAACAAAGTGCACCGCTGGGGACTCCAGTGTGGAACCATACATAGCAGCTCATAATACCATTATGGCGCATGCATCGGTTGCCAGTTTGTACAAACAAAAATATCAAGTAAGTGGATGATCATGCATGTACTTAAAATAGTTTCGGTGATGCTTAGTTTCTTCATGAACTGAGATATTGTAAACTATATAGCTTTCCTCAAGGGTGGAGCCACCAGTTCCACTAATTTGGCATTAACCACGTCGCAATTGATCTTTTTAATACATGTTTCACCATCGGTCTTACACTTAGGGTAGTATTTCCTTGTATGTGTGTGGGGGGGGGGGGTGTTCTTTCTGGAAAGACAATATTTCTTTCATCCTTTTGCATTGAAATAACAAATTGGGGGGGTAGTCGATTTATTTTGTTTAGGTTCCTGGGCATTTCCCTTAAAAGCAGGGACGTCATGTACATGGACTCTTATTCTTCTTTATTATCTGAAAAAGGTACTCCCTCCGATCCATATTAATTGTCACTGATTTAGTATCACTGATAATTAATATGGATTGGAGGGAGCATTACATTCTTAGTTATTCTATCTCTCATGGTGCAAATGTTTCCAAGGTATAGCCTCATACAATACGAAGTAACCTTTTTGGACATAGGACATGCAAAAAGGAGTTGTTGGCGTAAGTATCTACTCCTACTGGAGTTACCCACTGACAAATTCCACTGTGGATTTAGATGCAACCCAGAGATGTAAAGATTTCTTCTTTGGCTGGTATGATATCATGGCTCCATTTTGTCACTGGAAGCATTTAACCTACATGATCCGTGCACTGTTGAGATCTCAAGTGCGGTACTGGCAGGATATTAAATCCATTGGTGTTTGGAGACTACCCACAAGTAATGAAGAAGAATGTTGGCTCTCGCCTTCCATCCTTCACGGAAGTTCAGTCCGAACTTATCAAGGGTTCTTTACATTTTATTGGAATAAATCACTACTATTCTCTCTACGTGAATGATCGCCCTCTAGAAACAGTCATTCGAGACTACAACACGGACATGGCAGTTGATTTAAGGGGTAAGTATCTCTTTTGGATTCTGATACTAGTATTGCTGCTTAACTGCTCACAGTTGTGTGTTGTGTTGATTTAAGGGGTAAGTATCATGTTTTCCTATCACCAAGTTATGTTTTCGGCCACGGTACTACATCCCACAGAGCATGCTATCTGTTCAACACATTCTACACTCGTGTATGTAACAGAAAAGAGCTGAACGTACTATTCTAACTAGTGATTCCTTTGTATGATGTAGGTTCTAGGACAGGACCACTGGTTAGTCCGGTAAGACAATTTATGTCATCAATGTTTTTTGGCAAAGAAGTAGCTGAAAATGCAGTTATTTTGGTCATTCCCCATGCATCCATTTGGGTTACAAGTTATAACCTATATATTGAGAACTTAATCAAGAGATTAGAAAAGAAGTACGTACACTTAAAAACCTAATAGCATAAGCTTAACAGTAACTAACCTTTATTCGAGTGCAGAGTGCCCCGCCAAATGTCCCAAGTGACCCCAGAGGGTTGCAACTTGTACTGGAGTACCTGAAAGAAACCTATGGGAACCTTCCCGTCTACGTCCAAGAGAATGGCAAGCAGAATTTCCAGCTAGTTTCTGTTGACAAACACAGTTGCATCTTTCTTTACTCGTGTGGTCTGTTTCAGGTATGGCATCAGCCGACGACGGTCTAGATGACGCCGAGAGGATCGGTTTCCTGAGCAGCTACATGGAAAGCACACTAAACGCAATTAGGTGCGTCAAGATCAAATTAAACATATACCCATTCTTTGAGCATTGACTTTCGAAACATATACCGTTGGTTCATGTCAACAGCAGTGGAATTCAGAAAGTTAAAATTTCCAGCTTGCCCTCAATGCAGATACTCAGGGACAGAGAAAGACAATATTCCACCATGTGATGCATGATGCTCTCTTTGTTGTGCAGGAACGGGGCCAACGTGAGAGGCTACTTCGTCTGGGCCTTCATGGACCTGTTCGAGCTTCTGTCGGGCTACCAGTCGAGGTACGGGTTGTACCGCGTCGACTTCGCCGACGAGAGGCGGCCGCGGCAAGCCAGGCTCTCGGCTCGCTGGTACTCCGGCTTTCTCAGGCACAACGGAACCACTGCGCTCGTGTCGAGAGGGACGCAGGAGAAGCTAAGCGTCGTGTCACCCTGTGCATTTCAAAACCGAACCGAAAAACCATACCGAAAATAAACCGAACCGAACCGATTTTATGGTTTTTATGGTTTCTGGTTTCGGTATGGTATGAACTTTTCATACCGATTTAAACTTTGGTTTTTATGGTATATACCGAAAAACCGAACGGTTAACCGAATAAACCGAAGTAAAAATAAATTTATATTTCTTGAGATGAACAACCATACAAGTTGTCATTTTTCTTGTACATGAGTCAAATTCACTAATAAGCATGTAAAATTTTCTTGTAACATAGTCACTTTTCTCTTTTTAAAATGCTAAGCATGTCGATAATCATCAACAGATGAATTAATGCATGCATATATACTTATATATATAGTCATATACTATTTGTGTAAAATAATATGTGTTTTGAGTCATAAATTTGCAAATTATTATTACATCATTTTCAAATTCGCGTCAACTTTGGTTTTTATGGTATATACCGAAACCATACCGAAATAATTTGGTATATACCGAAACCGAACCATATTTTAATTTCATACCGTATTTACCGAAGTATTAATACCGTACAAACCGAAAAACCGTATAAACTGAACCATGTAAACCGAATAAACCGAACGCACAGGGTGAGCGTCGTGTCCTACTCCCGAGCCCGGAGCAACCGTGTGTGCCTGATGCGGCGGGCATGGGACATGCGCATGCTCCTGCCTAGTTTTTCTGTACAACATACCCGTACTCTTCAATCCTCTCCAAGAGAGGTTTAACCAAACAAGGCCTTAAAGAGATTTGAAGGGGCTTGAGGGGGAATTTGATTTATTCCATTGCAACTGAACAAGATTTTTCCTTTTTACATATTCAAAGTATGAGATTATTAACCAGGCCTGACACCCGGTAACCGAACAAGGTGTTAAGTAGTAGAGATACGTTGCCGTTTTCACATAAGAAGCCTAGTTATTTAATTGTTCGACTTGAAAAAAAAACTGATTACTATTGGAAGTACGAATTCTTGTGTAGATTCTTCCGTTAGGGTGTCGAGCTATATATTCCCTCAGCAAAAGAAAAAAGGGTGGCGAGTTATATATGTAGTAGTGAAGGTTTATTAGGGCATCTCCATCGGCAACCCGTAATTTTCTTCTGTATCTGTCCAAAGACACAGGGGACCAGTTCGCGGACACGGATGCGGGAGGAAGCCATCCAACGCTAGCCATATACATTTTGACAACAGTTCAAACTAATCGGACGATATTCGTTCAAACACGGCCAGATTTTATATAAACATGACGAATTTCATTACTAGGTATAATTACCTAACCTAAATGGTCGCATGCATCCGTTCCTCATGTCCGGCCATGAACTAAGAGAACTGAAGCTTCGTCTTTTCCAGCTCCGCCTCGGCGCTCTCCAGCTCTTTCTCTGTAACCTCTGCCACCGAAGCCACGGGAAGAGAAACTGTCCGCCTCCCCGTCGCCGTCAAGCGGCTAATCGACCGACAATGTTCCGCCCACCAAGTTTGGCTTCAACGGGAGGGGAAGAACGGTGCCCTTCCAGGGACCTAAGCGGCGGCGACCTACCGTGCACTACTCTTCCTTCTTGCTGACGGCGCCCGCGGACGTGCCGGCTTTGTGGTCGCCACGGCAGGGCGCGGCTTTGGCGACGTCCTCCTCGTCGTCAGTCTCGCCGAACACCGCCTCGTCGTCGAAATCCTTGCCAGCGACTACCACCCGCTGGCGGTATCGCCAGCGGGCGAGGCGAATCTCGCGGGCGGTGCGATACGACTCGAGCAGTGCCTCCTGCTCCGCCATGTCCGTGTCCGACGCGCCCATCCTGCCGGCGGTGGGCTGCTCCTCCGCATGCACATGCTTCTGTAAGAGGTGGTGGTTGTAGGCGGCATCGACATGCGCATCCCGAAACTGCTCCTCCCGCACCATGTCCATGTAATGGGCACGTGACCTGCCGATGGTCATGGTGCAATGCACCGGCGAGGGTGGCACGGACGAGGATGGTAGCGCCGACTCATCGTCGGTAGTCACGTCCTCCATTGGAATGTCATCGTCCTCCAGCTGCCTGCTGGCCTGCCAGCCGGCAACAATGGCGACCATCTCCTTCTTCTGGTCCGGCATCAACCCGTCCCAGGGAGCGTTGGTGGGGGAGGAATCTATGGTGGGAGTGGTGTGGAGAGGGATCGGAGGCGGATGACTGCGGGTCTGGCCTGGACAGCGGTTTATATAGCAATGGCGGGCGGCAGATGGACACACGGGTGGCGCCGGAGGAGATGCATCGGCAATCGCATGCCATCAATGTGGACGGTAGACGGACGGACGATCGACCGTCGTGTCGTTTGAACACGGAGCAGTCTCCTGCATCGGGAAGCGGCGTGGGTGGCGCTCTCTCGGCCGGCACGCCGCTTTAATGCCTGCACCAGTGAGCGGTCGCATCCGCTCTGGTCCGGCATGAATGCGGGACTAACGCTCTAGACCAGCATTGACCATTTTGGCCGCGCGGGAGGCGGGAGGGGTTTTTCGTGGGCTAGGGCAGTCAGGAAAGCACTTGCGAGCGGTCTAGACTCCCGCAAAGCCCCCCTCTCCCCCCACACCATTTGTCTTCGGTTTGCGATAGAAATCGCGCCCGAATCGTACCGCGGATTGATACAGGATCGCGGTTGATGGCTTTCGCTATCTGGATAGCGTGATCCAGACAGTTGCGTGAAGTTTAAGAGTGTGCGTTGGACATGCCCTTACCTTGCAGGGAATGCAACATCGTTTGCACCGAATTAGATGTATGATCAGTATGGGCACGTTTGGTTACCTGCATCATTTTTGGGCACTTTGCATACTTGTCCCAACTGGGCCTGGCTGAGCATATGCAGGCAAAAAACCAACGTCTGCATGTTGATTGGTTACCTACATTGCATCAAGGCCCAGATGGCTGCAACTTGTTTGGTTGCCTATGTTTGTGCTTTAGGTGTGAGCAGATGCAAAGCTCAGTTGTTTGGTTGTGTGCAAGTAATTGATCCGCTCACCCCTTTCAAATGTGGTGGAGCTACCACCCATTTGACAGCACACAACACACTATGATCAATAGCAGCACAAAAATAGCAAGAACAAGCAAAGAACAAGCAGATCATAAGCTACTAGGCATTAGTTTAAAACAGCAGGGCATCCCATGCCCCTACTAGACCCCAGGGTGCTGCTCCCTGGGCAAAATATGGACATGTTAACAAAAAAAGAGACAACCAGGCTTCAGTTCAAACCTACACTACTTTAGTTCAGAGTACTACGCATGGTTCAGAGTTTCAGACTACACAGACGAATCAGAGGGCCTGAGTGATGTCGCTGACACAGCTGTGCTTCGTGCACCGGACAGTGCGGATGTTGGAGTTGTTGGCATTGTAGATCTGCACCTTGAGCACCAGGCCGAAGAGCTTGAAAACTACAAGGTTGCCTGGGATGATCTTGTGTCGGCCGCAGAAGTACTCCCAGCCGCGCCCCAGCACCATGTGCCCCTTGAACATCTGCACCTGGACCCAAAACTCGCACCACTTGTTAGCGGAGAGGCTGACGACGCGAGGAGGGTCGCTGACCACCCATTGCTTCATCATCGGCCTGATTTTACGCGGGATGATGAGCATGGCATGTCCTCCTGGTCAGTGATCTACACGTAGAACCTCATAGGTTCCCGTGCACCCTCCTCGTGGCCGGTCCTCGGCCTCCTTCCAGCGCCCAGCGGCATCCTCGTGTACTCCAACCTGCCTGGGAGCACAACCCTCTTCAGCCACCTGTTGGTGGGGATCAGGTCCTCCGCATTCTCTGCACCGGCAACGACGTGTGCACCACCGCCGGCTGTGTCCCACTTCGTCTTCATTATCTTGTCAGCAAGATGGACATCACTTTAGCAACACATATGACACATGATGAAAGCTAACAAGTAGGCCATCATGTATGCTCACAGAACAAAGCTTACAATGATCAGTGCTAAGTACTAACACATTATTAGTGCTACTCTGATCAGTGCTTACAGTTATCAGTGCTAACACTGATCAGAAGAAGCCACCACTCACATGTCCTACTTGCACCTACTATTTTTGGCATTCAGGTATGTCCTACTTTTCATGCCACATGCACTCACGTACCCTAGCAACAAGATCAACATAACAACAGCAGCAAGAAGAGTAGCTTCAACAACAACAGCAAGAAGAGTAGCATGAACAACAACAGTAAGAACTAACAATAGTAGCATATACACTAGTAATAGCACCAAGAACAAACAATGTGGCACTACAGGCTAACAATTTGGCAGTAGAAAGTAACAATGTGGCACTAAAACGATGCAAATTACCACTACATTATGAACAATCTAGGCATGTCGGATGAACAAAGTAAGCATGCACTCTTGTTCATCCCCAAAATAGTGGATTCTCATCGAATCTGGTCGAATCTAGTAGAATCCAGTTAAATCAGATCAAATGTACGGGCCACAATCTAATCTAACACCCTATGAACTACCCTAAGAAACCCTAACTAAGAAGTAGAGGGGGATTTGAGAGCTTACAATTGGGGTTGCCGGTGTCGCGTACGCCGACCGTGGTAAAAACCTTGGCGGGAAGAGGGGTGCTGCCGTCGCTGATGAAGAGGGCCCCACCATTCCTAGGGCCGCGTCCATGCACCTTGGCCTGTGTAGGCTCAAAGATGACACCGGCGTCCTCAAGCTCTCCTCCCCTTGCACTAGGCGCAGAGGAGAAAACCCTCGTATGGGGGTAAAAATACCCCCATAAGAGGGGCCTGCAAAGGACGGCGCCGGCGGGTATTGGATCCCCGCGATGTTTGAGCCGATGGACAGGACCACTGACGGTGTCCTGGACTAGGGGGTACTCACCATATCGTCTCCCGATCAGTTAGATTGGGCCGAGGACCCCCATGGTCGTATACTCATGGGCCAGTTCGGACAGTTGATGCATACACGAGGAAGATTCTCATGTGATAGGTGGTCTAGTTGTTAGCAAAATTTAAAAACATGAATTTTCGACTTTTTTGCAAAATCTCTCGAGAATTTATAAA